CGAGCAGCAACATGTTTCATACCCTTTAATGTATAGTATAGATTAGTTAAAATGGTACGGATCGACTCGTGAGATACAGAAAGTTCGGCGGCTATCTCTCTCAGAGTTGAATGGGGATTTTCAGTCACTATTTCCTTCACTTTTGCGATGTTAACTACAGTTGCAGACCAGAGCGAGGCAAATCTTCCATCACATCTCGACCGCTTTTGAACGCTTTGAACCACTCATAAGCACGAGTTTTTGATAAAGTCGATTCACCGTAAGCTTTCTGTAACATTTTTAGTGACTCCGAACACGAAATTCCATTGGCGATGCAAAATTTAAGACAAACTCTTTGATCGATATTTGTGTCCATTATGAAATTCACAATATACATTATATATGATATTTCTGAAACCAGCGCTGTATTTAATATAAATAACAGATGCAACTCAAACTCCGCGCCAAAATGGAAAACAGTTGTGCCAATCTAACAACTACATAAAAACAAAAATTTGAATTTGGAACCATAAACAAATCATCCATTCCCGATACTTTTTTGAGTGAATGTAGGTATATGCGCATCACAAAGTACCTATTTATTTAGTTCTGAAAATAAAAATAGAATAAGATCATTATAAATGAAAATACCCGCCTATTGGGTTTTTTCCCACATAAAAACCGGGTTTTTTCCCAAATGGGAAAAAATCTGGGTTTTTTCCCTTTGGGTTTTTTCCCAGTGCCCATCTCTAGTTGCGAAATACAAGTTAGCGTAAAACAAGTTTCAATAACTTCGTTAGTAAAATGAAAACCACGTCATTCTAAAAAAAGTCTGAAAAAAAAATAGATCCGTCTTGTCTTAATAAATCTTGAACGAGTATCGTTTCAAAACGCTCTTGAATCTGTCGTGAGAACTGTCAACATCATCTGACAATGACGTCCCATCTTACAAAATACGCCTCCTGCACTGTCAAAATATTTTCTTTCTCTCTTTCACTTACATGAACTATATATTTCTACTTCGCTCTTTCCATTTTAAGTTTCAATTTCTCATAGTTGTTCTCAGCAAGGAAGGAAAATATTCAATTTCTGAATTTAATTCGCGATTTATAAAGTGAATAAATTTAAGTCAAACAGCGTTTACTAAATATAATGTTTTTCTGATTTTGGTTGAGGAAAATAGTGACCCGTTACTCAGGGTACCGTTAAGTGTTATTTATGAATGTGACCATCTTCAATAGAGTCAACAACCCTGTAAGTTGGTTTTATTTTTAACAAAATAACTAAGGAACTTATGTGTATATATAAATACGAGGAATAAAGCCTATACTGATCTGAAGACAATGGTTTGTGTTTCAACTATTTCTATTCACATATTTATTAGATATTGAAGAATATAATACATTATTCAGTATGTTGATATTTCAGCATTAATTACAGCCCACGTAGTGTACACTTGAACATTCTCACTCAGTGATTGTAATAATGAATGTTTATATTTACAAAACAATATTAAAATTATTTGTAAATTATCTTTTATTATGCATTATATTACAGTCAAGTGTGAATCAGAAGAAGTAGTAATACAACCTTATTGTTTCTGAATAATACTTATATCATTATTACATTTCCAAAGAGAAAAGGATGTATTTACCCTCTGCACTTGTAGCATTGAGGATTCATATAGAAATTGTTGATTTCCATCCTTTCACCCATAATTTTTGTTTGTTTATATTTAAATTATTGTTGGAAGTACTACAGTGTATTATGTGACTGTTTTATAAGTTGTTCTAACAGAGGGTAAGTTGAACTTCAAAGGTATAAAGTGACTTGTTGGCAGCTGCTCACAGTATTCTAAGCACAATAAATGGGAAAACTGAAAATGATTGTTTTATAAGATACTACAGTTCGGTATATGCTTATGTACTCCATGATTATGGGAACTGACATCAGTTCCCACACAATCTGTCCTTTGAACACCTTTATTACTGTGTTTATTATATTATTGTGTTTATTTCATAATACTGAAAATCATCTTAAATTATTTCTAGAATAAAGATAGCGGTGGCATGTATTCCGAGTGGAGTTCATTGCCCCTGGAGGGAGGGGGGCGGGGCGTGCTGGGCGCTGTCGGTGGCAGGGACGTTGTGCTGGCCGTGGTCAAACAACTAGCCTCACATGAACCCAGTCCACTCACCACTGATGCTGAGGTGTGTCTTTAAATGATGTCTGCAGCAATCTTCAACTTCAAATAAAATTTGCTTTTTAAATTACACAAACAGAATTGTGTGTTAAATTACCTTTGTCAATAAAAATGTGTTTATTAGTTGGTTTAAACCCATGGTCACCAGTGACCGCTTTCCACTAACATTACATTACATTATAGACCTTATTTCTAATGCTTAGAGACTACTTTTGTATGACCAAATTTAGGGGATGGATTTCAACGGGTTAAGTGAAGTGGTTTGTTCCTCTTGTACTTTAGTACAGTACAGTATAGGACAGTGATTTATATGGTTTTGATTTAGTAGTTATTTTAGTACTTTAACTGTTTAAACCCCAAGTTGTCACCGGTGACTGCTCTCCACTAACTCCATTATAGACCTTATTTCCTAGGTTTAGAAACTACTTTAATATGAACAAATTTTCGGTACGATAGATAGATATAGATACGTTGAGTATTAAGGAATGATTTGCTTCGGCAGTGCATATACTAAAAATGCACCTAATTTGTGGTGGTGGCTAACATTTAGATCGAATTTTGAGCATTTCCATATTGTCCCAGGTGGAGTGGGTGCTGGAGGTGATCAGATTCGGTCTGTCGCTGCCGCTGCAGGAGCACGAGGCGCTCCGAGACTGCGTGCGCGTGTGCTGCGCCTGGCTGGCGCCGCTGCTGCCGCCGGCGCCGCCCGCCATGCCGCCGCCGCCCGCGCTGCCGCCGCCCGTCGCCGCCGCCCCGCATAAATACGCCAGGAAGATACTAAGACACCTACACAATCTATTCGTGCCCAGGCCTAATGAGAGTGAGTTCACTGTTTATATTTATTTGATTTGTCAATTAATGAGAGGTACATTTAAATGGTTGTGAAGTTTTTAGACATTTTAAACTTTGAAGGATAATCATTTGATATTTATTTACAAGCTCTCACATTTATCTATCAAATGGAACTGGGTGAGTGGTCATTTAATAAACTTTGAAGGGAAAATGAAATAATTTAAACGAAACGAAAACGAAATCTACCTAAAAAGAAAACATAATATGTATGTGGAATGACACACAATACAATACCTACACATTATGTAGGCTATTAGGTACTGTGGGTCATGGGTGTGTTTGTCATTATTTGGTGTCCTACAAGTCTTGTACCTCCTACCTACTGAATGTGGTCTGGAAGAAATAGCTCTTAAAATGAAGGTAGGGAAAAACAATTTTGAATAAATAGGTAATAATTAGAAGAAGATGCGTTTTCGATTGTCACAAACTTATGGCACATCCACACATGCCGCCGAGTTTGCCGCTGGATTTCTGACAGCCTTGCCGTTGAATTAGCAATTTTCGCCATAGTGTTGTGACTTTCGTTGAAGTTAGTCGTGTTCGTGTACGTAGGATCGGAAGATGTTTGATTATAATATAGTTGCGTGTATCGCAAGTATAGTGTTGTGTGTTATTATTCGTAAAATGAACCGCAAAACCAAACGAATATATTGGGTCAGACTAAGTCTACGAAATAGGCCTAATGTGTCCCCGATACTTTTCTAATAATAAAAGTACTGCACTATCATCCCAGTTAAATTCTGTCATTTCGTTATTTAAATGAATACGACAACACTACTCCGTATCGAAACCGCAAGAAAACTGCACGGCAAAAAAAATGACTGCACGATTGGTGCGGTGGCTGGGCAACCGGCTGCCGTGCAACGTGTCGCGGGTTCGATTCCCGCACGGGACAACACTTTGTGTGATCCACAAATTGTTGTTTCTGGTCTGGGTGTCATTGTGTATGTGAACTTGTATGTTTGTAAACGCACCCACGACACAGGAGAAAATCCTAGTGTGGGGCAACGTTTAAAAAAAAAAAAAACTGCCGACGGCACCAAAAGCCGCTTGTGCAGGTTAATACTGCATGTGCCGCCGGGCATGTGTCGATGCGTCATGAGATAGAAGTTTAACTCCAAGAGACATACGGGCAATATATGGTGCGGGCGCGCCTGTGCAGGCGGGGACCTGATCAGCAAGCAGGCGGTGCTGTGCCACCGCGTGCTGCGGCTGGCGCGCGCGCTGGGCGCGGGCGGGGCGCTGGGCGCGCGCGACTGGGCGCAGCTGCTGCTGCTGCTGCTGGCCGCCGCCGCCGCGCTGCTGTCGCCGCCCGCGCCGCACCACTCCGCCGCCGAGCAACTCTGTGAGCGCGTGCTCTGCGTGCTCTTCGAGGTCTGGATCCTGGCCTGCCACAGGTACTACTACACATCACATACATCTACCACGTTCACATCATTCTCCGACATGGCAATCACCAATGTCCATTGTCAAATAAATACTCATTTTTCGGTAAAATGTCTTCCCATTGCTGTAAACAACGCAAACATTTACGAAAATGAAAGTTCTCATTTTGAACATTGTCTGTTGTTCTGTCAGAATCATCTAAAACCTACAAATAAGATCGTTCCTGTCATGTAACCGTAAGCGATAAAAATTGATTAATTCGATTCAATAACATTTTACCGATTTCATCGACACCGAGACCCACTCGTACAAGAGCGGAGTGAGCCGGCATGTGCCCGCAGATGTTTCCCGGCGCCCCCGCTGTGGCGTACACTGCGCGAGCAGTGCGTGCGCTGGCGCCACCGCGCGCCGCTGACGGAGCAGTGGACGCGCGCCTCGCTCGCCCTCACCGCCAGGCTGCTCAAACATATGTACGGACCACTCTTCCCCGTCATGCCTATCAGTGAGTAGCTTTACTTTGTTTTACATTCTTTGTGCTAACTCGATAAGTTATTAAACATTCAGATACGCGAAACACAATCTCTGAAGCTTGAACACAAACCTTCACTAGAACACCTCGAGTGAAGCTTAAGGTCTATTGACCAATACAATATTTGCTGATGTCAATTCATTAACCAACTAGAACAGCTAAGAAGAGTGAGAATAGAAACTGACACCGTCCAAGTCCGATCTTGTGAGCTCATAATCGAAACACATGATAAAATTTTGTTCCACCAGATCAGATCAATCTTGATTTTGAAAATCACATCTGCAATGATTGAGTAAAAATTCTGATAACCCATACCTTACTTATCAAACTATTTACTAGCCGCAAACCTGCCTTACAACGAAACTATTTGTCCAGGTGAGGAGGATGCCAACCTAATTCCCCCGGACATGAGCGCGGAAGCAGTGATGCAGAGCTGGTACCGGATCCTGCATACTATCGGGAACCCGGTCGACCTCTGCAGGCCACATGTCATCAGCCAGACTCCTGACTTTTTACAGGTTTGATAGAAATTATACTCTAATTTGTAATACTTAAGGTTGATATTTGAAGAAAGTCGGTGTATTGATTAGTTAAAATAATATAAGCTTTGATATCAATACATAGTATAAAACAAAGTCGCTTTCGCTGTATGTCCGTATGTATGCTTAGATCTTTAAAACTACGCAACGGATTTTGATGCGGTTTTTTTTAATAGATAGAGTGATTCTTAAGGAAGGTTTGTATGTATAATACATGCATATTGCACCCGTGCGAAGCCGGGGCGGGTCGCTAGTAAACTATAAAACTAAACTAAACTATACTCGAACTGGCCACTTTACTTGGATGAATCCAATATCCTACCATCTTCCTCTTGAATCTCACTCTCTGCTTATCTCTTACGATCGCAATTAAAATCCAAAATGTAGGTTTTTGATTGCAGCTTCAAACATTTATGTCCAAATCAAAAAGAATAATCAGTTGTGATAATCTCAAGAACTTATATCTTATTTATTTTTCGATCCTCAGTATTCTATAACTCAAGACGAAGGCAGCAGGGATCCAAGCCAGCATCCATGCCTTCAAGCCCTGCCCTCAATCTTCCACAAAGCTATGAAGGGTATAGCCGCACACGTAGACGCGTTCCTAGGTACGTACGACATAGCTTAGTGGTGTGGATTGCCTAATAACTTACTGGTTTTAAAACTGTGTTGGTTTACAATTTTCAGTCTTATAGTGTAAGGAATAAGGTCCATATTTGATTGGCTATGTAAGATTTGTAGTTAGATTTTAAAAATGTGTTTTATTAAGTGTCTGTTAGAGTTTAAAATTAAACTTAAAGTTATAAATATCAACTTGGTGATAATATGGGCCTTGCATTATGATAGTGGGTAGCACGTGTATAATACAAAGCACGACTTCTCTAGTGTAACCTGCTTTGGTGATGAAACTGATTTATTGGTGCTACTACTTTAATTTTAACAACTCAGTTTGATACTCGAACTATTAATAAAAAATCCTTAACATGCGCCGTAACAATAATGTCACGCACGACCAATACAGTTGTATCTGTGTGAATATGTCAAAATTATGAAAATGATCACTTTTGATTAAAATTACTTTTCATGACTGAATTCCTCGTGTTCCAATGGTCATAGAAAACATGACAGATTTATATTATACACATTTCAATATTCCTTTCATCTTATACTTTCTATTCATGTTCAATGCACATATTTATATTGCGGGAGAGTGAAACGGGGCTTACACTATAAAGATGGAATTACTCTGTTTTTATTTTTAACCCGTTGAGTGCTAACAGTTTCTATTTAAATGAATTGTGTAAAATCATAAAAATATCTTTTGGTTAGACTACCTACTAGACCAAGATCGGCGCGTAGGTTATAAAAAAGCGTAACTACGGCAATCCGTAGTTCAATAACTACATATCGTTAATTTTACCGCACAATCCCGTCCGAGTGTTACATAAAGGATAGAATCAGAAAAGTGAAATAAGATGCGATCAGATATTTTGTTTTGTTCACAAACATTTCACTTCGGTTTATTGTGTAAGCTTTACAGGATATCATAAAGCTGAACAGTAAACACTGTCTCTATAAATATAGCTTAATATTCGTAGTTGGCACTCGACAGGTTAAAACATTTTTAGGAGGGAAACGTGATAAAAAAACAAATGTATAGTGTGTTACGTAGACGGGCATGTATCTATATAGTAGCTTAAGTAGTGTACAATAAGTAGTACGTGAGTCGGTGGGGTGTAGGGCGCGGCTCGGAGCGGTGGTGGGGCGCCGGCGCGGGCGCGCCCGACCACGACGACGGCGACCTCACGCCGCCCGCGCACCGCCGCCTCGCCAAGTCCTTCAGCGTCTCCGCCGCCCGCCCGCGGGACAAACTGCCCGAACGAAGTAAGATTGTCGTCTATGGAAACCATTTTTGTTAGGCATAACTTGCAGTGTCAATACTTTATTGACAATATTAGTTGCAACACATATAGATACATTGTACGTTGCATATTTTTAAAACTTAAAAATAAGTGAATTAATTAATACTTTAATTACATAGTTGTATTTGCAGAAATTAAGGGCTAAAACTATTCTTCAAAAGTTCTGCAATATTTGTTAAGATTGCTCACGAATTTAACTCGAAATGGTTTCCATATCGAACTTTAAAATTAAGAATTTATATTTATTTATGTATTGAATGTTTATGTTAAACTCAATTAGATTTAGATATGTAAAATATTAGGTAGCTAGTATGGTTGTAAGACTGCATTTGATATAAGGCCAGTTACACAGTGTTTGATAAATATAACTGCCAAATAGTGTACAAAAATAGTTTCTTTTAACTGGTAGATAGTGCATTACTGTGGAACCGGTCATTGATGTAGTACTTGTGTACAGTTTCTTTGCACTTGTTTGTAAACAAGCACTTATTTCATTTCGTGTGTGGTGCGTTCTTTCTTTTGTTTTTTACTTTGATTTTCGGTTTTGCTTTACTTTTTCCTTTGTTTGCGTAGTTTTTGTGTGCACTTTATTTAGAAACCTTGTTTTCTTGGGTTGTTACATAATATTATTTATTTTAATTTATGAGATTTTTGACATCCACCAAACCAAGTAAATTACAAAGTATTATAAAATATTACATATTATTCGTCATTCTCCCTTTTTACAAGTCGTAGTACTGGTTTTTGTTGTAATTGTAATATTTTAGTGGGTAATATAATATGGTATGCGTATGCGCAGGTACTCCACGCACTTCGCTGATTGGCTTGACGAGCAGTCGTCCACCCAGCGTAGCTCCCACTACTCCTCCTAACTCTATCACCTCTCAAGGTAAAATATATTAACATTATATTGCCAAAATTCTGTTATAGACGTTCAAACTTTTATAAAGGTATATGGAAACAGACGGGCACATGGACCATCTGATATGCATGGACCTGGTAAGCAATCGGCGTTGGCCATGGATTCCCCTTTCATGGATAACTGCGTTACCGGCCCTTGGTGGAAGGCTGAGCGAGTTTTGAGTCTCTCTTAACCTCAATCACACAGTCAAAGTAACAACGGAACGCGCTGACTGACATATAGCCGTATAATGCATCTATACTATGTTACACTATTAAGTGACCATGTTTGTACCTTACAGTGGGTGAATCAGAGAAGCCACCGTTAACTCCGCTCCGTCCGAAAGTTAACTCCATCTTGCATCTGTTTGGAGAGTGGCTGTTTGAGGCGGCACTCATTGGTACTACTCCGCAATACAACAACCAACGTAAGCATACATTTCTGTCTACAAAATGTGCATGCTGCAAAAAATGTTGCGCAATATATTGAAAGTCATTGCAAAAGTTTTCTTTTTTTATTGCATAAGCCGGTAAACGAGCAGACGGATCACCTGATGGTAAGCCATAGGCGTCGCCCATGGACACCTGAAACACCAGAGATGTTAAAGTGCTGTACCTGCTTTTTGGGAATTTGAGGAATGTGGAGAATTGGGAAGACTGGGGAGGGGGGTTAATTGGGCCTCCGGTAACCTCACTCACACGACGAAATACAGCGCAAGCGTTGCTTCACGTCGGTTTTCTGCTCGGCCGTGGTATCACTCCGGTTGAGGCGGCCCATTCGTGCCGAAGCATGGCTCTCCCACACTTTTGTTTAGCAACGTTGCACATCATGCATTGGCAACATGTCGTTAGAAGAACTGTAATTGCGCATCAGCTGACAAAGTTGCGCTACAATGTGCAACGTTGCGCAAACTTTGCTAGCGTCACATTTTACGCGGCAACGACTTTATTGGAACCAGATTGTTTTTTTAACTGTCTGTCTATATTTTTCTTTCCAGAACGTACAGAAGGCACGCCCCCGCCACCGTCCTTGTCTGACGCTACTTACAAGTTGAACATGCTCAGTTACCAGCCAGGTAAGCTATTTCAAATGGAATTAAAGGGAAGAGAACAAATATGAATAGTTACCACTTCTATCGGTGAGAAAGACTTTCTTGAATGAGACATTAAACCAAAACGAAAAGGAACGGCGTTTCTCCTATTTAGTAAAAATATGTAATTATGAAGGGGGAATATGTAATTAGCCTTTGTTCAGCAGTGGACGGACGTCTTTCGGCTGTTGATGATGTAATTATGTGTCGTTCAGGTCGCGCGGAGGCTCTGGGTACTCTATGTCGCGTGCTGTGCTCGAAGCAGTGTCGCGAGGAGGTCCACCCGCCGTACCTGGCGCGGTGCTACGCGGCTCTACACCGGGGTCTGAGAGACCCCGCCACCGCCGCCGCTGTCGTACTCAACGCGCCTGATATCTTCCGGTAATGTCTTACAAATCTTCAAATCTTAGTACCGATCACAATTTTATTTTGCTGTTCTTTTATGGTGTAAAGGGGCAAACGAGCAGTAACAAGTGCGTTGCCAGCTTTTCGAGTGGGATTGGGCGTCCGGTAGCCTCACTCACGAAGTCAAATACAACGCAAGCGTTATTTCACGATACAAACACAAATACATAATAAAGTTACGCCTATCTCCTTTCGGGATAGGCAGAGACAATAGAACGCCAGATACGAATCTGGAATACATCTTTCAGTCATCTTATTACATTGTGCTATAGAGTACCTTTATTAATTATGTCCGTAAGGATTGAGGAGCCACATCACATTTTTAAAATCTGATCTCGCCATTATTTAGCAGCAGTTTAGCTTATTTTGCAGCACGAATTCTAGATTTAGCAGCAAAATATATCACTAGTTATTTTAATGCAAACATGGCTCCTCAATCTAAACGTTTGAATTGAGGAGCCACCTAGAACTCGTTAAGTAATAGATGAATATTTATGAAAATTTTGTATCATTTAGTAGTAATTTTGCACATTACCATATAAAAATTTGGCTTCTGTAGTGCTATAATTGAAGAAAATACAATACTTTTAATATGGCTCCTCAATCTAAACACAAGAGGTGAATTTCTATTTGGATGTGAGCGATCAATTAATATATTAGCATATTGATAATTTAGCAGGTGTTGTGTTTGTTTTTGCAGTATAGGAATAAAATAGTAAAACAGAGTATATTTTGTATATGAACGCATTTTCTTTGGCTCCTCAATCCTGACGTTCTAGTTATGTATATTTGACTGTAGCCACCTGAGATCTCAACGGAATCTAAAGCCAGAGAGACTAACATTTAGCAGAAACGTCTGCTAAATATATCTGCACAGTTCAGCAATGTACATATTTTGGATTCTGAGAAAACAATACTTAACTATTTTCTTGTAAATTCAATGTGTAGGGTGACCACATTTTGGGGGCACTTACAAACTAATATTTCACTTACGTCACCAAAATAATACTTATTAAGTAAGAAAACAATCATCAGCGGTGAAGTCTTCTCGTTTGTGCATGAATATGTTCATGTACGAAATATATAATTTAATTTCTGATTTTGTAATTAGATTTCGATGTTACAATATAAGGTGCATTGTAATGGTGCTACCCTTTATTTTCCTGCCTTCTGAACTTCTAAAATCCAGTGTGGTTTAAAACCAATAAAAAGCTTCTAATATCAAAGAGTTAGGTGAACACTATGACAGTTTTTAAGTTTTCTAGAGGTAATAATATCTATATTACAGTGATGGACTAAAAGAAGTTCCGCTACAATATCAAACTGCACTTAATTATTTATCACTTTATGATGAAACAAACATGATGATTAACTTTATAATATAAGAAATCTAAGTTAATTAGTTAATTATATATTTCGTACATGAACATATTCATGCACAAACGAGAAGACTTCACCGCTGATGATTGTTTTCTTACTTAATAAGTATTATTTTGGTTACGTAAGTGAAATATTAGTTTGTAAGTGCCCCCAAAATGTGGTCACCCTACACATTGAATTTACAAGAAAATAGTTAAGTATTGTTTTCTCAGAATCCAAAATATGTACATTGCTGAACTGTGCAGATATATTTAGCAGACGTTTCTGCTAAATGTTAGTCTCTCTGGCTTTAGATTCCGTTGAGATCTCAGGTGGCTACAGTCAAATATACATAACTAGAACGTCAGGATTGAGGAGCCAAAGAAAATGCGTTCATATACAAAATATACTCTGTTTTACTATTTTATTCCTATACTGCAAAAACAAACACAACACCTGCTAAATTATCAATATGCTAATATATTAATTGATCGCTCACATCCAAATAGAAATTCACCTCTTGTGTTTAGATTGAGGAGCCATATTAAAAGTATTGTATTTTCTTCAATTATAGCACTACAGAAGCCAAATTTTTATATGGTAATGTGCAAAATTACTACTAAATGATACAAAATTTTCATAAATATTCATCTATTACTTAACGAGTTCTAGGTGGCTCCTCAATTCAAACGTTTAGATTGAGGAGCCATGTTTGCATTAAAATAACTAGTGATATATTTTGCTGCTAAATCTAGAATTCGTGCTGCAAAATAAGCTAAACTGCTGCTAAATAATGGCGAGATCAGATTTTAAAAATGTGATGTGGCTCCTCAATCCTTACGGACATTATTAATTTCATTAATGTAAACTACTCTCTTTTTCTAGGCTGGATCTGGACGGTGTCTTAGTCCTAGTCCCAGACTTTATCAACGCTTTAGACCAGATACTCTCAGAAAGGGAGCCTAGACTGGAGTGTGGTAATATAGACAAGAGAGAACTGCGTAAAGCTGCCATCAGCGCGCTGCTGTCCCTAGTCGCGTTTCCGTACCATTACAAGGGCTTACCGGTTCCCGAGTTCCCGGGGTGTAATGAATAGTAAGTAAATTTTGTTCCTTACAGTTTTTTAGAGAATGTATTAGCTTAAAGTCAGATGCAAGATACACTTCTGGATACATCTATTGGCCCACCTTAGAGTTTAGGTTTTGATGGCCCCTACCGAAATATGATTGTTAAATTGAACAAAAACTGTTGATGCAGTTTTAAACCTGATACATTTCACCATCTTTTTCGATCGTATTGTTTTTTGAATTTGAATTCAGAATACCATGCGACATGGAGCTACACCTAACAAATCGGATAAGCGCCTTGTTAAAGGCTATTGATTTTTAAATAAAAAACACGTTTTATCAAGTAAAGGTTTAATTTAATAACGCGTGTTGATCCATGGGCAATTGGCGAGACATGTAACTGAAAAAAAATTTTTCGCTATATGTAGGTGGACCACCCTAATGGGCATCGACTACAGCTCTCATACGATTAGGCATAGAGTTTATCAACCGCTCTAATGAAATTTTGAGGGATCATCTCCCATTCCTCTTCCATGGCAGTTTTCAACTCCTGCATCGTCTGGGCAACTGGCTGACGAGACCTTACACGTCTTTTTAGCTCGTCCCACTTGTGCTCAATGGGGTTCATGTCTGGGCTTCTGGCTGGCCAGTCCATAACTGTGATGTTCACATCCCGAAGATATTCCCTGACGATGCCGGCCGCCTGGTCTCTTGCATTATCATGCATAAAAAGGAAATTTGGGCCTACATAGTCCGCGTATGGTATGATGTGAGGTTCTAAGCACTCACGAATGTACCTTTTAGCATTTAATGTTGGCAGCCGCGGTCCTGTAACAACCTCAAGTTGAGTTTTGCCGCTCGCATGTATACCGCCCCAGACATTCCATGAGCCACCGCCATAAGCAACTCTCTCTTCAATGCAGCATTGTGCGAACCGCTTTCCATTACGTCGGTAGACCTCCTTCCTTCCATCATTGCCATGTAACACAATTTTAGACTCATCAGAAAAGAGTACACGACTCAATTCTTGTTGAGTCCAATTTAAATGACTGCGTGCGAAATGAAGGCGCGCTGTTCGGTGGGCTCGCGTTAGTTTGGGCCCATTAGCTGGCTTGTGTGGTACCATATCGCGTTCTTTTAACCGTCTCCGAACAGTTCGAGCGCTCACAGATACTCCGTGGAAGTCGCGAAGGTGGTTTTGTATCTCGATGGAGGTAAGGTGACGATTTCTCAAGCTGGTCGTCACGATGAATCGATCCTGCCTTTCAGTTGTGACCCGAGATCGTGGCCTTCTTTGGCGACGAACAAAGCCGCCAGTCTCTAGGTACCTCCGATAAACATTTCGATGACCGCAGATCGACTTAAATTAAGTTGAGCACTCACGTTTCTTTGGCTGTGTCCGGCCTGAATAAGTGCCACAGCTTGGGCGGCGACTTCAGGTGAAGTATCCATAGATTATTGACAGAACCTTGAATGTTAATAATAAGTATTGTTTGTTGCAAAACCAAAGATATCAATCACTTTTCAGGAATGAAATTGAAGTAAACCAATAAAACCAAGTTTTCTTAGTGTACGGTCCTAAAATGACTGACGTACATATTTTGTTTCTATAAATACCGATACAACATAATAAATGAGAGAGTGCAATTACTGCAACGCGGTGACCAACATTAGAGAAAGGAATCGTCAACAGTTTTATTGTGAACACAATTAAACGTTCTAAATCTAACTAAGTGAATCTTTTCTCTTCGCGCTCCAACCTCAACAAACACGCTGCAAGTGTACGCACCGTACA